TATTTACAATCTATTGCGACGTCAAAATATTTGCATTTAATTACAATTCGATTGATTGAGAGCCGATTTCAACTTATCTAAAAGAATACTCAACTGATTAAATGTACCAAGTCTACCTTAGTCTACTATGTAGTCGAGATATAAATTCTCGATTCAGTCATTAATATTTTTGATGTACTTTAGCAGAATTTTCCTTTGCAGCTCTTCGACTGGCAATTGGCTTGAAAACTTTGCCATATGATCGGGCAATTTATGCACGTTGTCAGCCGAAAGAGTTTGTAACTGAGCATCAAACGACTTTGTATACTAATTGCTACTTTATAAACATGCAAATGGCTGCGCGGTTAAATATTAGCAAGTTTATGAACTTGGCTTGTCAGCGCGAACTGATTACAAATGGCAATCAGAGAGCGTAGCTGCGGGCCATGGGCGAAAGTGGGTCGAACAGGTGTTAAGCACACAACAGGCAAGCTGACAGGACAGACAGAGAGACAGAGAGACAGACAGACAGCTGGGTCAGCTGCTGATCTATGTATTTAATTTGAAAATGCGACACAGACACTGCGGCACGAAGTGTTTCGTGTAAATTAAATTACATGCGCGTTGATGCTGCGTTTTGGCTCGAACAACAGGCCGACTGTAGGCAGGCCGACCATGTGGCCAACCGTTCGACCGGAACTAACACATTAAATTTTCATTTAACCAAAAGTCCCTAAAGTTGAAAACAGTCGAGGCTGCTGCACCAACAAAATTACCACAAACGCTTTTCATGGCCCGGCCAAAGAGCTGAGCCCACAGCCAAGTGTAGGTACGTAGTTAAGCACACGTGGGTCTAAAGAGTGTTGCAGCTTGCGGTGAGCCCGGAACACGGATTTTTCCACAGCACAGCATCGGCTACAAAAAGCAGCAACACTTAATAGAAAGCGCCGCATTAAATGTATTCCAAAAACTCGACCACTGGACAGCCTACTCCATACCATAGTTAATCTTCAGTTGAGGAATTTTATGGCAAACGCTATATGCGTATTAGTTGGCTGCGCATTTCACGGGATTATTTATTGCACAGAGCTTAGGCATTAATATCATTTAGTGTAAAAGCACATTCATTATGTTTAATTACCGCTTTGTATTCATAGCTCTTTAGATAGAATCAGGATTTAAGCTCATCTATAGATGCAAGAAAGTTTGATAAATGATTTCACACAGACTTTATTTTTACTTTTTGGAAATACATATTTACTTATTAAGCTATTAAGTAATGTTATATGAAGTCCTGCTGGTAGAGATTTTTATGAAAGTTTAATAAACTTAAGAAAAGCCATATCAAGCTAATCTTTAGAGCAAGTTTCTTCAGATGTAAACTATAAACTTTGTAAACCATATACAAATATACTATATATTCATATAAATTTGAAGTATCTAGCGTTTCTCCACTTTGATAACGCAGGGGAAGCAATGAATACACGCTATTGGTGTCAGTGCTAAAAAGAATTTAAAATTCCAATTGGAATATGAAAGCATATATTTTCGTATTTCAGTTCAAACTTCGAATGCTCGTTACTCTTATAGAAAGATCCATCTTATACAGTTATGCCCCTAATGACATACACACATAAAAACTATATTAAACATGACTTTTTAATCAACTTTTTAGCTAGATAAATAAATAGCTATATGGGCTGCTCCTAAAAGGCTTGGTAAATCAAAAACCAATATTCTTGCAGCAGTTTATCCCTATTCTAATCAACTTCTCTATATTTGTTGTCTTTCAATATATGCTCTAGTTTAAAGCAGTCATTTTTGTTTTCTAAATCGACTCCAGCTAGAATCAATCAATATATTCAAATATTGTCGAGAAAATTTGAGCATTTCATGCATGTTTCCGTTTACATAGTCATAGTAAATAGAATTTCTATTTGGCTTCGCTCACACTCGATTAGCAGCCTCGTTTGGCATGCTTTGAGTTGGCTTTTCAGATTTTCAGTTTCAATTGATTGGCAACAGTTGTCGAGTGTACAATAGCTATTTGTGCTTAGTGCTTTCCACTTTGAACTTGATTGCACTTGAGCGCAACACTCGAACAGTTAATGCGCCACCTGCAGCTGCTATCTGCGGGCTGTCAGGCCACACGCACGCCTTTTGCAGTCGGCCAGCTGGAGAGCGCGTTCCATCGATGCATACCTGCTGCTCAGTCGAGCAGTCAGTCGAGCCTCGATGTGTCGACAACGAAATTGCTAAGCAAAACTGAAAACTTTACTTAATTCTGTTATAATAACAACACAGAAGTTGGCAACTCAATTAGGCCAGGTGGAAACATGATTAAAACTGTTAACAAACAAGGGAAAAGCTGAATACAAAATTCATTAAAATATTTAAATTGACTTTGGAAATATTTGAAAATTTTATTTGCATACTCAAAATAATTATAGTATCCAAAGAGAAATGAAAATATGTGAAAAGAGAAAAATGCTGATTTTAGTATATAAAAGTTTTTTAAAAAAAAAAAAAAAAAAAAGGTTGTTAGAGCCATTAAGATGCGTGGAAGGGCGCATAAAATAATACTTATATTTACATACATATACAAATATTTTTGATCAGGATTGATAACAAGCTGTTCTAGCTCTGTCTATCTGTCCGTAGTGAAATCAAAATGTTTATATAATCAAATCCATTATTTACATCTGTTTCTCGTATGTCGATTTCGACCTAGACCTAAAGTCTTGAATGTGTAGTCCAAATATAGCACTGCTTATAAACTATCGAAATATCTGTCCTACAGTAAATCGTTATATATGAAAAATAATGGCAATACTCAACTTGACTAATAATTGTAGAATCCTATTAGCCAGAAAAAAGCAACTAGCCAGAATAAAAGAAAATCCTTGGCCTCTTATGCACCTCATTGGCCATAAGCCGCAACTTTTCCCTAGTACATGGTATGACGCTTATCGTGTTGCTAGCCTGCATTTAGCCAAGTAATACTGTTGTTGTCCATTGTAGCTGTTTTATAGACGCTGAGCATAATAACTTCCGCAAAATAAAACGAGATATCTATTTAATTCAATATGCGCTGCTAATGCAGTGAATTGCCAGAGCACGGAAAATCGAGCTGGATGGCGAAGAAATAAATATAAATAAAACTAAAATAAAATGCCAATAAAGGGAGCAGCTTGTGCGCTACAACTACTTTTGCATGTATGCGTATACACACGCACGCACACACATACACATACATATACATAAACATATATATAGAGAGAGAGCGAGTAGTACGAGTATATATTACTTGTACTGGAATAGGAAGCGGAAATGCGATTTTGGTTTTGTTTCTCGCTAGCCGCCCGCTCGCCGCTTCGAAATCCCCTAAATACAATAAATTGTACATTTCATTTAATTCCATTTCATTTACAAAAGCGAAACCAAATCCAAGCAAACAAAGGACCCCATTGTGGGTGATGCCAACAGCGACTTGCCGAACAACAATGAAACCAAAGAGCGCAAAGAAATATAATAAATAAATATAACAATTGAACTGAAATGAAATGAATGAAACAAAGTGAAGCTCGTCATGAGCTGCTGTTGCCAGTGCTGCTGTTGCTACAGTTGCTACAGTTGCCATTTCGCAGTGTGTCCTGAATGCCATATACATAACGCACTGCAGCGACTTTGATAAAAACAGGATATGGCAGCAGATGCTCAAAATGTTTTCGCATTGCACATGCCCAGACCCGTTTTGTCCTGGCCTTCTTTCAGCTTCAGCTTCGGCTTCATCTTCAGCTTCAGCTTCAGCTCATTCATCTTTCATTCACAGCATTTTCCGTCTCCGTTACTGGATTTGTACTGAATATCTGAGACTTGCAGCCAGCGAAAGTTTATTTAAGCTGACTTCTTTTATGCCCGAGGCACATTCCCTACGCCATCTTGCTTCCTTCTTGCCCCCTGCACAGTGTACCCATTGAAAGTGAATAATGGTGGGTATTATGATTGATATACATACCAGATATATTATGTTTATGTATATACATATACATAAACAAATATACATATTTATATTTGATCAGCTTGAATAGTGAGCTTATCTTGCCATCTTGCCAGTCTGTTCAACATATCCCATTCACATGCTAGTGCTATACACTTAAATGTTGAATGTAGACCCTATCGAGGATTACTTTATATCTAAAAAACCGATAATTATCGATTTATACGTGTATAAAGTGGAACTGAATTCGTTAAAATTTATTAAAGCTGAATTTTATCCACTTTTTTTCTGTATTTTCCTTTTACTTCCTATTGCCGTTCATTTATTTGTATTTTTTTATTTTTTGTTTTTACGTTTTACTTATTAAAAGTCTATGGTGTATAGTACCCCTCAATATCAAAACTCTGCCATATTTATAAAAGTTTCCCTGCATCCGCAACTCTAAGTACTGAGTATCAGCCAGTCAGTCACTTCTATTTCAATTATTTCTTTCAATAAAGTTTATTCAACTGTTTTCCTTTACTTTTTATGCACTTTCAATGGGCATCATATTAAACAGTCGGCGTCTTTGATGTGTTTCACAACTTTACACACGCCTCGAACTTTGTGATTGAAAACAAAGTTATTGAAATTTTGTTTCCATAAAAGTTTTTTTTTTCTTTAGCATAATTCAATCATATCCGCTCACCAACAGCAGCAGCAACATCAGCTCTGTGGTAAAATCCCTCGAACGCAATGCGATTTCCGAGAACAATTGACCGATTTTTATTTTCATGAATTGCTTCAGAGTGGCTCGACAACATGAGAGCCAGGAATTTGTAAGAAAAGTGCCAAATGCTTTGAATCTGAATTGTAGTTTGCTTTCGTAACTGAGTTTACTAGGCTAGAAAGGATATGAAAGTAGAATTGTAAGGATTGTTGAAAAGAAGTTTTGAAAATATGACTAGATTTTAAGTTGTAGTTTGCAAAACTGAATTGAATGTATAAATAATCTAACAAATGGAATTTCTTGCATTTTCAGTGATACTTCGATATCGACGAGAGTGGACATGCTCACGCCAGCGATTGAAGTGTATAAGGCGCCTCTCTGACACAAGGATGACACTGTGGAGAGCAATTTAGGGAATCCATCGACGAGTAGCGATTTCTAGCAGAAGCTAATCATCACTGCGGAACTAACTACGGATAATCTATTTGTTCTTCCAACATAGTGTCAATCAAGTCCAGCTAACTGAATTCTAGAAGCCCAAAAACCATGGCCAGAGCCAGGGCCAGGGCCAGCGCCAAGGCCGTCGATAAACTACACTGAAAAGTTTTAGCAAAACAAACCAAATATATAAACACTCATACATATATATTCATATATAAATATATATGGCACACACATGCATGTATATGTATACTTGTATATATGTATATGCACATGTGTGTGCAACATAAGAGCATATATAAAATAATAATAATTGATCCAAATGAATAATTCCTAAGATTGATTACATTTAGTTACTTTTTAGCGTAAATGATTTTTAAACCTGGCAGAAGCAAAACCAAGAACAGAAAAACAAACAACAAAGAAACAGAAAATAGTCTTAAGAATAGGTTATTCAATATATATATGTGGATATGGATATGGATATGGATATATACTCATGTATGGCAATGCAATATCGCATATTTTCATATGAATATGATAAGAGGATGGCAGTTGAATTGAGGCTGCATCGGCAAGGTATATGAAATATATTATGATATATGTAGTAGGTGTATATTAATGCGAGGAAAAATGTTTGCAATGTGTATCGAAAATGTATATTCAGTTATACGAAAAACAAAATAAAAGCAACAACAAATACGGTCAGAAACAAAACATAACAAAAGAAAACGCAATGAATAATTTTTGTACTGCTGAAGATAAAGAATAAAAAAAAAATAATTAAAAACAAAAATTGACAATTAGATGTAAAATTTTTGCATAGTTTTTAAATAAGTTTGTAATGCATTAGTAACTAATTAAGTAACAACAAAAAAAGAAACAAACATTAAACGAATGCAAATGCTAAAATTAGGCATGTTGATAGCAACAAATAAATTGAAATTCTTAAAAAATTCCAATTCCAAATTATTTTCAGTCATCAGCAAAATTAAAGCAAACAAAGCCAAAAAAAAAAAAAAAAAAAAAAAAAAAAAAAAAAAAAAAAAAAAAAAAAAAAAAAAAAAAAAAAAAAAAAAAAAAAAAAAAAAAAAAAAAAAAACAAAAAAAAATTCTTGCGAAATGCATTTTGGAAATATTTATTTAATTAATCAATTTTCATGCATCATTCCCAATACCACGAATACTCTGAATATATATTTTACATTCAAATATTTAATAATGACGAGCGCACAGCAGTTAGTTGCTGTTAAATATGCATAGTTATTCGTTGATTTATTTTATAATAGCTGAAATATTTAGTAGTTAATGCTTAATGAGCCCTTCACAAAGTGCCCCCAAATTGGTGAACAAGAAAAACTATTTATTTCATAAATATTTGATAACAGGCATAATTCAAAATTCTCAAAACTTCAAAATATTTCTTTTACATTAAAATTTTATAGCCCGAATCCATTAAAAATGGGAAATTATTTCCTTTTATTTATATTTATATAACTCAAATCAATCAAAGCAAATCTATTTAATAATAACTAATGCCAGAACACACATTTGAACAGGCTTACTTTTTTAATACTTTTAAAATTTCTTAGCCAATATTTTTTTAAAGCTTTACCTATAACTTTCAGCATTTTCAGCTCATGTGAATTGAGTTTATGAATTTTATTAACAGAATCTTTGTTCAGATTAAAAGGTTTTTTCCGCTTAAAGCCATATTATTTTCGATATTATCTGTAATGGCTACTTTTTAATGCGCTTCTTAAATTCTTGAAAAGCTTGATATACTTAAAAGCTTTCATATGCTTTAATTAACTTTTACATTTTTTCGTCTAAAATTTTTGTTGTAAAAGCAGTTGGATCATTCTCAGCCCAAAAGCTTGCATATGCTGCCATATAAGCTTTTGGGAGAGGAGATTAAGGATGGCTAGAAAGTGCATTAAAATCAATTTTTTGTTGAATTTCACTTCCAAAGATTTCGTTTCCTATTCCTTTCCATGGAATACTTACTGTAATAGCATACATCGATTTACATAATATCTTTGATAGAATGCAAGAATTTCATACAAAATATATTGCTTTTCTGATTCTATAAAGTTGCTTTCGTTTTCAGCTCTTGACTTTGGAGCATTATCAAAATCATATACTATGTACAGCTTCATTTCAATATACACAATCCGTAATTGTGCTTGACAATATAATTTGAAAAAATAAAAAAGTTTTTAGTTTGCAAAATATAACACTTTACTTAGAATTGTTGCTAAAATATGTTTTCATACATACAAAAAAAAAAAAAAAAAAAAGGAGAATAGAAGAACCATTGCGCCCCATTTACTAGATGATGCCTATGATGATGCCTAAGCAACTTTTGATAGTCGAGTTGACTGAATGGGATATTAAATTGTTAACATTAAGTGTTTTGACGATTCGCGCTAGAATTTGGTACGGGAAACGGCAATTGCATCGTTTTTGATATATTTTCATTTAGATAAATGTGAAGCCGCTAAACTTACAAATGAAAACAAACCAAATTGATAAGTTCATACGCCAATGATATTATCAAAATGTTCATAGTTAAGAAACAAACAATAATAAAGCAAATACATGTTACATATATACATATATATATAACACATAAAACAATCTGTAAATAAGTTGAAATGAAATAGATGAAAAATGCATATAATTTTTGATAGTTAAGCTAATTGAAACCATTTTTTAAGACACACACAAATACAAAATTGTAAAACCCAAAAAAGAAATGAAAGAAAATAATTACGAAATAAGTAATTCATTGTGTACTAAACTAAGCCGTGCATAGCTAAATATTATGCCTCAAAGAAGCAGCAGTTAGAAAATTATATAAAAAAAGGAAAGTAAAAAGAAAAACAAGAAAAATTAATATAAATTATTATATAATATCCATTTTATACACACGCTTCATGTTGAACATGCTCGTTATATAATTTTGTTGTTACATAAATGCATAAATACATATGCATACGCAATCGAGGTATGAATAATAATGTATTTAAAAACAAATTCAAACACCTGCACACACACTCACACACACAGACAGAAACACAAACTTTTTTACAATTGGCTTTGATGAGACTATTGTTTGGTGAATTTGATAAGAATTTCATTTACAAGCAATTTGAATTTGAAACAAAGTAAAAACTTATAAAAAATGCAAACCAAAAGTTAATAATAATAATAATAATATTAATAATACAAATGGTAAGCATTGAAATGAACACGCAATGAACAATAACATTTATTTATATATGCCATATATGTATAATGAGGCGAGAAATAATCGAAACATATAATAATAATAATAGAACTAGGCGCATATTGAAAAATAAACAAGAACTATTATTGAATGAAAACAAAAACAAAACTCTTATTGATTATTTACTTTGCTTGGGTGGGTGGATATATTTGTTATAGAAGAGGAAATGGATTTCAGAAATATCAACAAGAGAAAGGGTTTTCCACAAAGCCTATGAAAACAGCCGTTGGCTCTATTTCATTCATCATTTTCCTAACTGCGCTATACTTGGTAAGTCTCTCTATTAAGGAATCCATCGGCTAGAGCTCAAGATCTTAACTAAAAAGGTTAGACTTCTTTTAGATATACCCCGCATACGGTACCACATATTTAGTGTACCTATTGAAGGGTATAAAAACTTGCAAATTTTATTGATTTAGCTTTAAATCAAATATCCTTTTAATTTACTATTGAAACGCTCAAGCTCGGGATTCACTACTGGGAGCCCCTCAACGTATTTACTCCAAATATCTTTATCCGATAAGTCATGACCGCAACTAGATAGCCATGATTCTATTATCTGAGATGATGATGCCAAGTCTATAGCCTTGTTACAGATAATATAATATTTCGCTTTTCAATAAACCCCATGAGGCCTTTTAATACGAATACATATTCCCAGTTTGAAGACCCTTGCTTCAATAGCTATGCTTGGAATTCACATATGAAGGAACAATAGTGAAGCGTATATAAAAGTATATCATAGAATAGCATTACAATGATGATGATAGTACGCAATGTAGTAGGAAAATTGACTGCAGGCTGCAGGCTTTGTCAATCTAATCAACAAAGGCTTTTGGCTTTATGGAGGCGTCCATTCCCACTGATCAAGAATATATATACGAGCAACGGTCTCTCTAAGCTCTGGGCTGTTACAATGCCACTTGACAAGTGTATGAAAATCAAATTTCAGCCAGTCTATCGAGCGACAAGCGACAAGCGTAATGTAATTGGAATGGCATAAACAACAACTATGAACTGAATTAGAGAAATCCAATGAATTTTCCATGCAACAAAATGGCATACACTTAACCGAGAGGAGCAACAGCAGCAGCAACGACAGCAACTTGAGGAAGAGGCACAACCAATACATGTATAGGCATGTGTATGTGTGTGTGTGTATGTACATAATGGCAAGCCATCATCGTCCACAATTCCGGGCCGTTGATTTCGCTGTTTGTGGATGGGCAACCCACATGAGTTGCCACAAAGCAGCGACGCAGTCGCGACAACAAAAATGAAATGAAGTGAAATGGAATCAAAGGCATCCATTGGGACTGTCGACGTTGGAACGGCGCAACCAACGCATGGAAATAGACACAATCGCCGTTCTATGGCGCGCAAGAGATCGTCCATGGCAGCCATTCTAGTCAGTTCCGGGGGCAACGACTACCACTACGACTACGACTACGGCTACGGCTATGACTGCGACTGCGACTCTGAGTGCGACGCCGACATCGTCAATGATGATGTTTACAGTTGAGCTGCAGCGCGAAGCGTAGCCCCCCTATTCAAGGCCTCCCCCACCCACACACACTAGCATTTGCCTGGTTTACATGCTATGCGTTCATATGTGCGCACACCTTCACATTCACCACCTCCTCCAGGTTCATCTTCGCCTCCCATTCGTTCAACCTTTTTCAGCAGTCACTGTTTGTGTTTCGCTCCCGCCCCCTCTGGTAGCCAAACCAAAAATTGAGTTTCCCTGACTTTGTGGTCGCACTTTGTGCTTGGCGATACCCAAAAAACAAGATAGTTTAGTTATGGTTAGTGTGCGGTCGCTGCGGAAGCAGAGGAAGTCACGAATTTGCCACAAATATGCCATAACTATGACGAAAATTTAAACAGCATCGATTGCGGGCATACTTTTCGTATT